TTGTATATGCGTGCAACGTGTAAGGGCATACGTGATGGCTATGGCACAAATAACTTCAAGGATAACAAGTGCGAGGATAATCGTTCTCGGGCACTTAAACTAAATGGATGAGTGTGAATGCTAAGATCACAATGGTGAACACAGAGTGACTCAGCTGAAGAGACATAATGCACAACTACTGCCTGATCACAGCATATGACAGTGCACGATTTGTGGCAGGTTCACGCTGCACAGTGCGGAGTCCTGTTCATTCGTAGCTTTTAACGTGAGGTACGTGAGTTGGTCGATGTTGGTAGACTTCTGAGGATCCTTCCTTTCGGTAGCATCGGGCTATGTTTGAACTTTGATAACGACTTGTTAACATCTTCTGATGGCTAACTCATCATCTAGCGCCCATGCCAGTATTAGGTTGTTCACCAGTGATGGTGATTGGCCAGTGGTTCACCTGTATCTCCTTGTCTGAGGCTGACAGTCTTTCAATCTCCTGCTTCCAATCAGCACCTCGCTATCATGTGGCTCACCGCTGGGACTCTTCACCTCATCGTTATGGCTCAGACTATCGCCAGAGGATCGGGCCGAGATGATCAACTGGAGAATATCGACCAGGCCTTCCAGAACTTCACGAAAGAGTGAGATAATCCGTTTCCTTCAGCTTCCAGCTTTTCCATCGCCTATCGCAATTTTTAAAGATACAATAAGAAGTATGAAACGGACGAGCAGTACCAGGTTGCAAAGGCTGCTTTTGCAGAAAGCATGAGAGAGATAGAGGAATTGAGAGCAAATGGTTGGCGGCGGAAGCTCATGTCCTCTCATGTTTATTATTCAGGCGATATAACTCATGAGGTCGGCCTCAATGAATATGCCGATGTACCATCCGGAGTATTCGATAAAGCGTTCCAGTGCGCTACAGATCCGCAGTTTAAAGAAAACCTGCGCTCAGTCACTGCGACTTGTACTATCACCTTGCTCTTGCTCCACTGAAGCAGAAAGATTCCCTCAGACCCACAAGACGAGATAGCAGCTCCTCCCCCGTCGGTTGACTGGGAAGCCGCTGGTGCTTTGGCTCCAGTCAGGATCAATCGACTCGGCTGAACAAATGTGGCGCTTGTTATGCCATCGGCGCTACAGGTAAGCCTCCGATGGCTTTCCATACATCATCACAACCGTCGGTTCCTCTTCAGTCGTTTTGGAGAGCCGTTTCAGATACAGACCGGCATTGCTAAAGTGGTTCCGTTCTCAGT